TAAATCTAACATCTTTTTATGATATCATTGTTTAAAATATTAATTTAAAATATATTACTCTAAAATTCTATTGTTGAATACATAGGAATTTAAAAAATCAAAATGAAGATAACAAAAATCAAGGCATGCTTATGAAGCTAAAAAAATCATTTTGGAAAAAGATTTTTGGAAAAAAGCAAGTGATATAATAAAAGTTTATGAGCCTTTGGTAAAAGTGTTGCACCTTATTGATGGTGATGAAAAACCAATAATGTAATTTATTTACGAGATGATAGATAGAGCTAAATAAGCAATTCAATAAAATTATTGTTATTCTGCTGAATGTGAAAAGATTATTGATAATAGATGGAGTTTCATGCATTCTGACTTATATTCAGCTAGTAAACAAACCAAGAATATAGATTGTACTTAAAAAAATATGTTTATTTTTTATGCTTAAATTGCTTATATATTTATTTTTTATTACTTTAATATAATATTGTTATGAATTATGTTTAGGTTACTATCTAAATCCACAATTTCAATTTGGAGTAGAGCATTTTGAAAATGTACTTAAAAAACCATTAGACGGTACAAGAGCAACTATTGAAAGATTAGAACCTTATACAGACACTCAAATCAGAATGATTAATCAGGTTAGTATTTAATACTATTTTATAACTTTGACATTTATTTTATGTATTAAAAATAAAATTATTATTTATTTATTTATTTATTATTGTATTTTCAATTGATGTAGTTATTATTATTTCGAGATAAGCATGAAACATTTGATACTCTACATGCGCAAAAAGCTTAGAAGTAAATGAATCCAAGTAATTAGTAAATTAAATAATTATAATTTATTTATGTTATTTAATTGAATAGCACATTCAAATTTAATTTAAATAATTTTATATAGTTGAGTAGTTAATGATATATGGCACTTATGTTCCTGAATTACAAAAACTAGTAATCAAAGTGCTTAGTCAAACAGCATTTACAACAAATTGTGAACGTAACTGAAGCATATTTAGCTATATTCACACCAAAGCAAGAAACAGATTGGAGTTTGAAAAACTTCAAAAACTTGTATATACCTATTACAACATGAGGTTGAGGATAAGACATAAAAAAAGAATGAGCATTGACGAGATAAATAATAGTTTTAATCCTATTAGCCTTGACCATATTTTTTAAGATGATGATCTACTAATTGAATGACTGCAAGAGAAAAAAATCCTCTGTCAGATGGTCAAAACTCTAATTGGTTGCCTACAGATAATTCTGATAATGAAATGAATGTTAAACAATCACGCCAATCTTAAGAAAGGAATGTGTTTCATTCAAGTTCAAATCCAACACCAAATCAAAGTGATAATGGTGGGAGTTTAAGTCCAGATGATGGTGATGGTGATGGTGCAAATTTTGGTGGTAATGTGGATGCAAATCGACCTTATAGCCCACTTGGAGGAGAATTTGGCCTTGTTGCTATTGGTGGACTTTTTATTAACATGACAAAATATGGAGTAAATCCATCTGCTGAATCTAGTGGGGGTCAAAGTGTAGATACAACACGATCAAAAGGAAATGCAAAAAAGCACCACTAAGATATTTCTAGAGGTTCTTCATCTTCAGGTAGGAAATCTAATTCTAATAACTTTGAGTATAGTGAATCATCTGCTATTATTTAAGGACGTTACTATCTGCCAAACAACCTAATTTTTAACCTACTTATAGTTATCCACCGTTTATACAGTTATTATCTACCACAAATATATCATCCACCTTAAATGTATCATTTATCATAAATGTATCCCCTACCATAAATGTACCATCCTTAAATATATCCTCCACCTCAAATGCATCAAGAACAAAGGCCATAGGAATGGAAATGGAGTCAACTTGACTCTCAAAATAAAAATAGAGAATTTGATCCTCCTCATATCATGTGGTAAAATTTAAAATATATATCAATAATTATAATTGACAGAATTAAAAATTATTATATTTTTAAGTTTGTAATTTCATTAAATATAGATGCTTGGTATTTAATATATTATGTTTTGTTAATATCTTGATTTGTCTAAAATTAATATTGAATATGAACTTGACTCAAGCAAAAATTTTGTTGTTAAACCAAATATGAATGTTTTATTATAATCTAACTAAAATTATGAATAATTTTTTTTAGAAAATAAAAAAATAGTATGATAAACTATTTTAAAAATCATTAAATAAGATTTTTTATTATTAGAATTATAATAATTATTTTTTATAACAAATTATGCAAAATTAAAAAAAATTCACGATCGCAATGACCTTGATAACCACAACGACCTCCGTTATATCCGAAAATATGATAAACGCGATGCCACCAAAAATGTACCACGACCGTTATTTAAATCCCTGTTTACAACCAAAAAATGAATTCCATCGAGCAACTTACTCATGTGAAACTTACCTAACTTTAGCCTCTAGATCCCCACCTTCATTTACATGGTCTTTCTTAATCAATTCCATAACCTTCCTATGTTCCTACTCAGAGATTTCAATTTCGCACTGTCATGCACATTTGTTAAAAAGATTGTCTTTAGCCCGAACGAGATGATGGGAATTCATCGCAAGACATTTCGTGGAGACATTTTCTTTTACATTTCAATCACCCACATTCTATGGGAACTCATATGACTTTAAAAGATCTCGTATGGTTAGACCCAAAAAGTAGCGGATTTAAATGTAATATATTCAAAATACTGAAAATAAAAAATAAAAATACATTAATATTATACTAAATTACTAATATATATAATACTAAATAGAATAGACTAATAGAATAAAAATTACATATAATAGAATAAACAGAAATTAAATTAAAATATATAATATAGAGATAGGATGACATAGGATGATTCCATCCTCCCCAAGTGGAGAAAATTATTTTTAATTCATGAGATTAAACTTAGATATCTAATTATGCTTTTAAAAATTATATCAATAATTTAAATTGTATAAATTTTAAAAAATAATAATTTTGACTAATAAATAAAATTATTATATCTTAATCTTTGCACACATCAAATACAAGATAAGATGACATTATTTAATCTAATCCTATCATATATAATTTTATCCTATCTTATTCCTAATCTTATACGCTAAATAGGCCAATCAAATATAAGATACGATGTCATTATTTAATCTAATCTTATTCATAATATATCTTATCCTATTCTATCATATAATAAAACACATCCTGAATATGTTATTTAAATATGACATTTAAAATTAGAAATTCTAGTTTTTCTAAATTCTAGTCTACAATTCGACTAGGAGAATGAAGAGTTCAGCTCCAAAGATACATGCCTCTTCTTTACTCCAATAGTCATCATTCCTTCTCTGAAGTTCTTTCAATCTCTGGAAAATTAAAGAGGTTATGTTTAATTCACTACACAATCCAACCCTACTATTGGTTTGAACTTCTTATTAGTAAATTTTGGTATATAAATTGCAAAAGATGTGTAGGCTAAGGACATAAAAGGAAAGTTATAACTGAGGAGCAAACAAGAGGCGTCAATGGATGGGAATGAAATATTTAACATGGCAATAACAGATGATAAACGAGATCGATCATCCTAAATTACATGTATTCGAGTATATTTACATGCATAAACGATGTAGATTTTTCTTGCCACTAATGTGCATTGAGTTATGGAAGAGAAAAAAGGGAAAGAAAATGAAAATCAGTGGATTTGCACCTTAAGTTCCCTTCAATTCCACTCCTGCCAAAAATTTTAAGGGGAAAATGGACTCATTTAACTTGAATTAATCATTTTACCTACACTTTTTCTCCAATCTATTCCTTTCCCTCTATTTCTCATCCATCACAATTTTTCTTTCCCTTCAGCTTTTTTTTCTCTTTCCTACAATTTCCTTCCTACCAAAAATTTGATTGTAACAAAAAGCAAAAGAAATACTAGGGTAGCAATTGAGAAAAGCTTTATCAGGTAATGATCTTTAAGTAAATAAAAAAGATTAAGGAACAACCATGTTTTAGAGAGTCACAAGTGATTTCAAGAGCTTCTCTTCTCTTTATTTTTACATTCCATTTTGATTTCAGAAACTGAATCTCTTCAATTCTCCTCTTCAAATCCTGAATAATCACAAAGAAAATCTCGTAAATTTCTTTCAATTTATTAAATACAAAACGAAGAACAGAGAAGGAGGACATTTGGCACTGCAAAGTCTGTTTGGGAATTGGAAAAGTTTTCACCTAATCTAACCCATTTGCAATAAAGTAGTAATTCCATTTCCAACCTTAAATCAGCAACCAAGCAAAAAGGAAAACCCAGCTAGGCTAAGATAAGGTAGGAAATGAAAAAACTACCAAAGAGAGAAACAGAGTGATTTACCTCGTGAATTTGATCGAAACGGGAAAGAAGCGAAGTGGTCAATACCTCGCTCGTTACCGCCATTTTTTCCCTTTGTTTGAATCCTATTTGGCTATTCACTGTTTCTCTCGCTCTATGTCCTTTAGTATTACTACCTCTAATCTAAATCACTCCGCTACGCTGTCGGTGCTAGATTGGACGGGTTTGATTTGAGTTATTTTCTAACTCCAGTGATATTTTGTCTAAATTTAATTTTTAAGATCATTTTAAATTTGAATAATTTTAAATTTAAATATTTAAATTTTAAATAATTTTAAATTCTTGAATACAAACTATTTCGAGTTCAATTTAGTTCAAGTTTGGAGAAATTCATTTTAAAAATTCTATAAGCTATAGACAATTTTTTATAATTTTAAGTTTAATAATTAAGTTTGCTTTTTATATTGTTAAATAAAAATATGATAACAATAATAAAGTTAAGATTAATAAATATATAAAATTTATTTGTCAAATTATACTAAATGTCCATAACTCTATCAAATTTTAAAATTTAATCTATTTATTATAATTCATATAAATTTAATTTTTATATTATTTTTAAGTTAATAAATAGTTTTAAGGTGAAAAAGGATGAGATATAATTTACAGAGATAAACTCTGAGTCCAATATGTCTGATCTTGACAATAAATAATTTGTAATTAATGGGATAATATTGATCAATCCAATGACTCTGACTCCAATATTTCTGACCAACAGTATTAGGGATCAAATAACCCTTAATCTCCACTCATTTGCCAATCCAATGCTCCAAATCCACTTTCCGATCTACCGTGCAAATCTGAAAGCTCAACTTGAACCGTTTGATCAAGAAATCCTTGGTAATTTCCTCCCCCTCCCACACTGATCATCTTTTGCTGTTGCCATTGTCCTTGCTCAAGTCCTTGCCTATTGTTTGATATAAAGGCAAGATTAAAAGAAATTTGAGAAAAAAAGAAGAAAAAATTTTTGAAAATCCAAAAGAGGTTAAGGTTTTTACTTTATTCTTCATGGATTTTCCTTACTTTTTTAGATTAAGAACAAAAACAAAAATGAAAGGATGAATGAAAAAAAAAAAAAAAGTTAATGGATTAGGTAATAAGAAAGAGTAGAATAAAAATTGAGAAAAAAAAAAAAGTGAGAACTGAGATGGGATTTGACAGAGTAACGTAGAGGAGAAAAAGCAAGTGCATTAAGTATTGGTGTTGGAACATGTGGACCATGAATCGGACCATAATACGTAAAATTTTATAAACAAAAAAAAAAGGATTTGTTATTAATTTTTTTATTAAGTGTGATTAATTATTTAAAATGTTTTTTTAATAAAATAAAAAAAAATTTAAGGTTTATTAAAAAATATTTTGGTTTTTAAAAATAGAATTAAGTTTAAGAGTATGATTACATGTAAAAAAAAATTAACATCTCGGAGTATCCATTTAAAAATGATAATAATTAATCATACGTTATCTTTCGATATTGGATGAAAATGATTTCAACTTGATGTTTAATAATAATTCCTTTCAACTTTTTTGAAAAAAAAATTAATTTTATTTTTTTACAAAAAAACTTTATTTAAGAATATTATAAAAATCTTTAGGTTAAAAAATTACTTTAAAATTCTCTCACATCTAAACAAAATTTAAAGATAACTATTTTCATCAAAGATTTACCACAAGATTCCTTTAAAATGAAATAGCATTCTTCGTAAATAATAATTGTTAGTGACTCTCCAACCTTCAGGTTGAGTATTAAGAATTATTTTTCTTAAAATATTATTCTAGTTTTATTTTAAAATCCATATTTTTTGAATAACATTTTTCGTAAAAAAAATCTATGTTAAAAAAACGATGATGCTACAATTAACAAATAAATAGCAATAATTAACATATATAAGCATGTAAAATGAATGCAAACAACAATCTACAAATAAATATATGTAAATGGGTGTCATGCATGATGTTAAGATGAAAATTTGAAATGGAATCTTTAAATATGAAGAAACCATATGGACTCTTTAACTTCTAAGCAAAATTTAAGTACGATTATTTATATTCAAGATCTTATTTTTATTACTTTTCTTTTGTTTGATCTTATTATTGTTTTTGTTAAGGAATCATACAAAAAAACTTAATGAAATAAAATTTTCTAAGCACCCCAACCTCTAGGCAAACATTCAAAAACATTTTATTTCATACGAGATTTTCATACAAATTCTTTAAAATTTAGAATGGTTATTAGGTGTTAAAATGAGTTTAAGGTTTAAAATTTGACTAGTTTTAGGGTTTGAAAATTTTAAAGTTTGGTTTAGGGTTTAGGTTAGGATTTGAATAGGATTTTGGGCTTGACTACGTTTGAGGTTTGGTTTAGGGTTTAGGTTAGGGTTTTGTGTTTAGACTAGGCTTAAGGTTTGATTTTGGGTTTAGGGTTTGGTATTTAGAGTTTTGGTTTTGGGATTTTTTGTGTTTCCATGATTTTTATGAACTTTTTCAAAAATTTCTAATATTTAGGTAGACTTTCAAAGCATGCTAAAAAATCATGATTTTATTTTTTAATTAAGGTTTTAATGTGTAAGTAATGTATGGCAAATACTTAATGCATGATCATGGTATGAGCAAATGATCAAACACTAAAAATACCATATAGCTATTTTGTCAAACAATTAGGGTCGTTTGGTATTATTATGGCTTTATGTTTTACGTTTTATTTTTTTGAAAATTTTGTTTTAATTTTTTTACATGTTTTATTTTTAATTTGTTGAATTTGAAAACATGTTTGGATAAAATGTTTTTGTTTTAGACTCCATTTGTTATTAATAATATAATAATATTAATATAATAATATTTAATAATATATTATTTTCAATATAATACAATTTATTTATTAATATATTATTTATAAATATTATATTAATAAATAATATTATATTATTTCTTAATATAATATTTATTACTATATTAATAATATAATATATTATATTAGCAATATACTCTTATATTACTAATAATATATGATATTAATATAAATAATATATTAATAAATATTATATTAATAATACATTAATATATTAACAAATATTATATTCATATAATAATATATTATATTCATATAACATATTAATAAATATTATATTAAACATATATTATATGAATAATATATTCTTAATAGATAATATTTTTATATTAATAAATAAATAATATTGTATTATTAATATAATATATTATTTATTAATATAATATTATTTATATAATAAATATAATAATATTTTTAAGATATTATTTATTACTATAACATTTATATGATAAAAATTTTATTTTGTTAATATATTATTTGTAACATCATTGTAACTGTTTAATTATAATTTTTGTGAATAGTGTCTGTGTGGTAACAATGTCAAATTATTTCCAAAAAATTGAAAATACTATTTTTCTGTTTTCAACAATTTTCAAAGCTTTCAAAAACTTTGTTTTTTGTTTTGTTTTTAGTTTTCAAAAACAAAAAACAAAAATAACCTATCAAACATGTTTTTGTTTTTAATTTTCAAAAAAATTGAAAATGAAAACAGAAAACAAAAATAGAAACAAATGATCCCTAAATTATTGAAAACTTACATTTTTATTTATTCAAACAACTTTAATACATAATGTGAACGCAAAATTTTTAACTTTGTAAATTTATTCAAACACCTAACAAACTCTTTTAGTATTAAAAATCAAATCTAAAAACTAACACATATCAAACATACATTAAGCAAGTAAAGAACAATCATTTATTCAAAATAGAACTTTTGTCAACCACCTAGAAAACTAACAAAAGACAAATTGACAATCTAACATTTATATTCAAGAAAACTAAACAAAAATGTAATCAAACAAGAAAAACAAGATAATCACAAAATTAAATCATCAAAACACATTTAAATCATAAATCAAAGTATGTAAATCATTAACAATGAGATGAGGCTCTTGCAATGAAAGACTACATGGAGAAGAACTAAAGATTACATGAATAAAGATAAAAAATGCATGAAAAGGGTGAGAAATTACCTAAAAAGCTTTCCTCCAAAAAAAAGATATTTTAAGAGCTTACTTAATGGTGGATTTTTGGTTGCTGGAAATGATAGTCTCTATAGCCCCAAGCATGTCAATTTAAAGAGCCAAAACATCCCTTTAAACCTTTGGATCAAAATGCATTTAAAGGTAGTAATTCTTTTATTTCTTTCTTCAAACTTGGTGCCCAAGGCTTGTAATATAGGCCATAGGAATATTGTACTTTTAAATCTAATGTCTTTAAAAAATTACAACACAAAACTTGGTTGTCCTAACGAGAAAAGATAATTTTACCCTTATTGGTGTTTTAAAGCTTTTTCCATTATTTTCCTAAAATCCTATGATCCACAATTTATTTCCATGATTTTAATGCTCCAAAATTCATAGAATAATACTTAATTATGATATGAAGTTTTTTAGTAAAAACTAACCCTAAAAAGGTCGAATTACGAAAGTGCTCTTTATAGGCATTTTAGTAATTTTATCCCTTTAAAATGCAATCAAAATTTTTAATGCATCAAAATTAATAAAATTATATTTAAACATGATCTAAAATTTTTCACAAAAAATCAACCTAAAAAAGGTCAAATTATGAAAATGCTCCTAAAGGGCATTTTTGTTTAGGAGCATTTTCGTAATTTTTTCTTTTTTTAGGTCCAACAATATTTTGAGGAGTTAAAATTATAATTTTGTAACTAATGAACCTTAATAGTCCTATTCAATCACAAATTTCAAATGTTTGACCAAGTTTTATCGAGGGACATTTTGGTCATTTCAATTCAAAATTTTGTTTTTCTAAGGATTTTCTTTCCAAACATTAGGCTTTGATAAAACTTGACCAAATAAGTGATTTTGACAAACTTTAACCCAAGCCTATAATAAGGGTATCTTGGTCAAAACACCCATTTTGCTCAAAACGCAAGATTTATTTTAAAATCTTTACGGATCCAATAACTTGGTTTTATTATCCCAAAAATGACCCAATTTTGACCAAATTCAACTAAGTTTGACAAGTTTGACTATGTTAACTTTTTGATCAGCCTTTGACTTTTTCTTTGCTTTTTGATACTTTTCTTATTTCAACCTAAGAATTAATTTATTCAAAAATCATGAAATTTTCCTGTCTCAATTTCAAAGCATTGTGATTTCCCAGAACATGCCTAAAAAAAATTAGGTGTCTGCACGTGTAAACACCTAATTTTGCCCTAGCACATTCTAGCTAGTTTGTGATACTTTTAGAGTCAAGCCCAATTCATTTCTAACATTTCCTTAAGATTTATGAATTATTAAAATTGAATTTTGGATAAAATTGAACCAAGTGTGCCGTGGTTAAACTTGGTTAAACATAAACCTGATAAAATTTGGTCGAATTTGGGTTAACCCTTGGAATTCACAACTGAATAGGACTATTAAGGTTTGGGATTAATCAAATTATTATTTGGGTTCTTAAGAATTTTGATCATACGTCATTAAGATAAAATTACCAAAATGCCCTTTAGAAGTACTTTCATAATTTAACCTTCTCAAGGTCCTTCTTTTATGAAAAGCTCCATATCTTGTTTCGATAAAATTTTTTGATTTTTGATGCATTAAAAATCTTGATTGTGCCTAAAAAAAGTCAAAATTATCAAAATACCTTTTAAATATTTTTTTGTAATTTGACATTCTCCAAGTCAATTTATAGTGAAAAACTCCAGACCACGTTTTGATATTATTTCATGAATTTTGATGCATTGAAAACCTTAATTGCACCTCGGAGAGGTTGAAATTATCAAAATGCTCTTTAGGGATATTTTCATAATTTAACATTTTTGAGGTCAATTTTTCACGAAAAGTTTCATATCGTAATTAAATATTATTTTATGAATTTTGGTGCCTTAAAATCATGAGAATAATTATTGGATCATAAGATTTTAGGAAAATCATAAAAAGTGCTTAAAAACATTAGTAGGGGTAAAATGGTCTTTCCACATTAGGACAGTTGCACTAGCAGCTATGTCATGTGTTGTAATTTTTCAAAGCCATTAGATTTCAAGGTAGAGTGATCCTATAGCCTATGTTGCAAGCCTTGGGCACCAAGTTAGAAGAAAAAGACAAAAGGATTACAACTCTTGATTGAATTTGATCTAATAGTTACTAAAAGGAGTTTTGGCCTTCAAATGAATCATTTTCTAATATTAGAGGGAGGATTTTGGCAACAAGGAAAGTGATGGAAATTACCAAAAAAATAGAAAAAATATCCAAAAATCTCTTTGGGACAGCTTAAAAAAATCCTAAAGAGAAAGCTTAGAAGGTAGTTATTTTTTTACTCTTTTTTTTTTCATTTTCCATATCATTTCTATCTTTATTTCATTTTGTTCATTTCATTTCTTGATCTTTTTTCAAAGGAAATCAACTTTCCATAGTTGTTTTTTCTTAAATCTTTGGTTGATTCATCATCTCATGTTATCAATCTAATGATAAGGTAATAAGATAAAATGGAATTATAAAACAACAATTCCTCATCAAGAGAAGTTTTCGGCCATGAAGCTTCCATGATTGGCTTAAGCTTCCTCTCCTTTCTTTTAGTATCCTTTATGCTTTGGTTTGTGACTTGGATGGGTTTATGTTAGTTTTGCATGTGATGATTCCATTTTTAGGGTTTTATTTAGTGTTTGGCTACTTTTGTGATAAACAAAATGCTTGTTTGGCTATTTTCATTTTAGGAGATTCCATGTGTTGGATAAAAGTTCTATTACAAAAATGAAGTTTTCCTAGTTGTTTTTTATGAATAAGCTTATTTGGCAATTTTCCTTTTAGTATATTTCTAAGTATTTGATGAAAGGGTGATTTAAAAAATAAGTAAAAAATTCTTGATTGCTTGTTGAGCTTTTTGATGTTTATGGTTGATTTATTATGGAAGCATAAGGGCAACATGATCAAAACAATGAGATCTTCTTTGAATTTGATTTTAATGTTTGAAAATGTTTAGCAAGTGTTTGATCATTTGTGCATATCATCTATTTCAAGTTATTAAAGTTGCATATTCCATTATTTGCACATCTCATGCATTTTAACTTGATTGCATTTTTGTTAAATCAATATAGTTGCATACTTTGTAGTTTGATTATCTCATGCTTGTAATTGATAGTATTTCTATGTTTAATAAATGTTTGATATAATGTTCATGTCATTCTACTCATACTTTACATCATAGCTAGATAGTTTCTTGCATTTTTCTTTGCATAATGTATTAATTACTATACATTAATCTCTAAACCCTAAATCCTAAAACTTAAACAAAACCTTAAACCAAACCCTAAACCCTAAACTAAACCTAAACCTTAAACCCAAAACCAAACCCCATGCCAAACCCTTAACCCTAAACCCTAAAGCTAACCCGAACCCATAATGAAAACTCAAACCCTAAATAGAAACCGAACCCCAAACCCTAAACTAAATCCAAACCTTAAACCAAATTGAACTAAACCCCAAAGCCTAAACCAAAACTAAGCCATAAACCCAACCCTAAACAAAACCTTAAACCCCAAACCAAACCCCAAAACCTAAACCTTAAACTAAACTTTAAACCGAAAAAGCAAAACCTAGGCCTATTCTCATGCATTTGCATTTCATTTTAATAAATCGTCGCATACATTAGCATTCTTGAGTTGTCTTCCATGCACTTGTATTTTTCATTCACATTTTAATTGTCATGCTTTTTATTTTGTATTATTATGTTCATGCATATCATTTTCATGTTTTATGAATAAAGTATTTTAGGAACATGTTTTAAAAAAATAAAAAAATAATAATAAGATAATATTTTAAGTAAAAATAATTCTTGAGATCTGACCTAAGGAGATTCTTAACAATTATCATTTATAAAAAATATTATTTTGGTTTTATGGGGGCATTATGCAAAGTCCCAAAGTAAAAAGATATTTTTGAAATTTTGCCTAAATATAAAGGAATGATAAAGATGTTTTAGTACTAAGAACTTTTCATTTTGATCTTAAATAATTAACTTTGTTTATCAAGAATTCAAGAATAGAATAATTTGTCTTCAAAATATAAAATTCAAAATGATTTGATTTCAAGAAATATTTTTGGAGGGAATAAATGAAATTTGAGGAATTAATTTGCAAACAGTAAAGTTAGGACCATTTTACAAAAACTCAAGGATAACTAGAAGTCAATTGTATCATTTTTTAACGAGTGCTATTGGGGTGCTATTTCTCACACGTAATCGAATTCTCAAACCAAACTTTGGTTGCGAAGACCAAAATATTTTTTAATAAAGTTTAAACTTATTGTATTTTTTTATTAAAAAAGATAAACTTTTTAGGTGACTAATCACACTTTAAAAAAGATTAGTATCGACTTTTTTGGTTTTGATATTTTTTAAATGTTTATTTTTCATGTCATATGGTCAAGTTCTTGGACCCACATATTATGACAAGCTTCCATTCTTTACATATTTTTGAGAACTAGAAATAATGCTACAAATAATGTAAAGACAAATACAACAATTTTGTCTAAGATAAAGGATTTAAAGAGTTTTTTAGTTTTTTGTTATGGATTTTTGAACTTTTTGATTTTTTTTGATTTATGAATTTTTTAAATTTTTTGGATTTTTTGAATTTTTATTACCTTTTTTTGAATTCTTGAAAAGCTCTTCTCACTAAAGACTCCACAACTTTGAAAACAAATTTAAAAATACTCCTCATTAGAGGCTTCATAATTTTGAAAATAAATTAAAAAAAACTCCACAACTTTTGAAAATAAATTTGAATAAAAGATCGGATATTATCACCAAAGAAAAAGCAAAATGGTTTTAGATATCGCCATCGAAAGGTTCACAAATATCACCAACTAATGACAATGCAAGATAATTTCAGATATCACCACTTGAAATGTTTTTGGATATCATCACTAAGGAAAATGCAAAATGACTTCAAATATTGCCAAAAAAAACTTTCCAAATATCACCACCGAGAAAATGCAAATGCCTTCAAATATCACCATTGAATGGTTCTCGGATATCACCACTAAGGAGAATTCAAAATGACTACGAATATTGCCACTAAAAAGTTCCCAAATATCACTATCGAAAAGACTTTTAATATCACTATCAAAAGAATTTTGATAAAAGCTTGATATCATTACTGAGAAAATTTTTAAGAAATTCATATTTGAATACTTGGATATCACCATTAAGAAAGTTTTAATGAAATCTTGGATTTCGTTAACTAAAAAATTTTAATAAAATTCAAACTTGAATACCTAGATATCACCATTGAGTAAATTTGATTAAAACTTGTATATCATCACCGTGAAAGTTCTAATGAAAGCTCGATATCACCACTGAAAAAATTTAATAAAATTCAGACTTGAATGCTTGGATATCACCATTAAATGATGCGGATAAAATTCCAATAGAAGATTTCAATAATACTTGGATATCATCACTAAGAAATATGATAAAAACTCAAAATCACTACTAAGATTTAAAAATTTGGACTTTGAACACTCAAATATCACCATCAAGCTTTGAAAACTTAGACTTTGAACACTCAAATGTCACCATCGAGATTTAAATGAAATTTGAATTTTTGAATACTCGGATATCACCATCGAGATTTAAAAGCTTGAACTTTGAACACTCGGATATTGCCACTATGAAGTTTTAATAAAATTCATATATCATCACCAAAACACATAATAAAACTAGGATATCACCACATAGAAAATAGAAAATGACATTACCACCAAAAGGTTCCTAGATATCACCACCGAGGAGAATGCCAAATGACTTTGTACATCGCCATCAAAGGGTTCCTAGATATTACCACCGAGAAAATGTAAAATAACTTCAAATATTACCATAAAAGGATTCCCGTATATCACCACTAAAAAAAATTTAATGAAAATCCACATATCATTATAAAGCATGCAAAAAAGCTTGTATATCACCATCAAGAAAATTGAATAAAATCATATATCACCATAAAGCATGTAGAAAGCTCAGATAACATCGTAAAAAAACATTGAATAAAATATGGTATTATCATTAGAAAACTTTGACATATTCCTTAAGAATTGTTGTTTATTGTTTTTGCATTCATTTATATTCTTCTTAGTTTTTTCTCCTTTTTTTAACTCCAATTATTCAAAATTTTCTTTTATCTTTTCTAAATAATTACAAGAATATTTCTAAAATAATAGTACAAATGTAAATGTTTTTATGCAAATGTAAAGATCTCTACCAATAATGCAAATGCAAATGTCCTTTCCATATTATGAATATTGTATGCAAAAATGCAAATGCAAAAGTATATGACTCTTACCAAAATGCAATTTATAATGCTATCTTAATGTGGTAGATGTAATAATTCTTAAAGAAAATGCAAATGAAAATATCTAACCCAAGATGCATAGTGCAAGCATTTGTTTTAACATGCTAATGCAAATCAAAACTTTGATAATGTGAATTTATTGATCCTTGCAACCATTAAGATGCAAACACAAAACCTTATTCCAAGAAAGTAAACATAAATAATCAACCATCATGATGTGAAATGTCAATGCTCTCTACCATGATGCAAATGCAAGTATTTCTAGGCAAATGCAAATGTTCTTTCCAAGATGCACATGCAATAATGCAAATGTCTCTACAAGGATACAAATGCAAATATTTCCTTCAAAGGTGCTCATGCAAATTTCTAATCTAACGGTACAGATGCCTTCCAACTATAATGCAAATGCAAATATTTATCCTAACAATGCAGATGTCTTTTACAAATGTGCACCTATTTCTATCATGACAATGCTAAAGCAATCTAACTAAAATGCAAATGCTTATCTAATGAAGGCATTGTCTTTTTCGGTGATGAAGATACATGCTAAAAAATGCAAGTGCCAAAATTCCTTTTCCTTTTCATTCTTCATATTCCAATTCTGCTAATTTCTCTTTGTTCATCAAATTAGCTCTTTAACTTTCTTTCAAAAGGGTTTCTTTTTTCATTTCCACATATTGTTTTCATTCTTTCACCTATTTTCCTTATTGTATCTTTATCGATTTTCCTTCTCTTTCCTTCTTAAACAAGATTTCTTAGTTTTTTTCTTCCTTTTCACTATTAATTCCATTTCCCTTCTTGATTCCATCATTAATTCTAACATACCACATATGATTACTGTCAACTTAATGCATGCATCATGTAAAAGTTAAGAAGACAAACAACTATACTCTTCCTACTCTTTGAGTGCATAAAAAATTTTTTTTTCTTCTCCCAATGTGCATTTTTTCTTTAATGGAAAACATTTTTTATTTAAAACTAGTCTAAATGATTTCTTTATTCACTACAAAAATGCCTAACTAGTCTTTCAAAAATTTTCAAAACAACTAACAAAATTGCCTTACATAATTAAATTCCATGATCAAAGATAATGAAATATCAAAACAAATGTGACTTTGGAGTTTCTTAAAAATTGGTATGCCGTATTAGAAATGAAAATGGCGATGATTTCCATTTAAAAAAAAGAGCAGTTTAGCTCATTAAGGCCTCAGTTCATTCAAAAAGGCTTCGTAACTTGAAGGGAACAAAAAATATATATATTCTTCCATTTAGGCTCACAAATGAAACATAAATTTCTAAAATGCATGAGTTTATTTAAAACCAAACATGTTTGACACTTTCTTTGATCTCCAAATGTGACATTTTGATAAATGTCAACACTAGCTAGGTCCAAGATTTTGAAAGGTCATTTAGGAATGGAAGAAAAATACTTAAATTTTTAAAATCAACCCCTTTAATAGATTTCAAACTTTCAAACTTTCATGGCATTAACATTCTTGAACCTTTCAAAAGTATGAGTTGCTTCATATTAGCTTTTCTTACATTGTTAGGCATCTGGATTAGTTTCAAAGTTTTCAAATTTGCTTTAAACTACCCTTTTTAAAGCTTTCACCATAGAGCCCCATTTCTTTTTTTTTTCCCTTTTTTTTCATTTGTGTTGATTATTCCACCACTACAAGAAATAATATTTTTGGTGGAGAAAAAAAAATTGTCACTAAATATATACAATTTAGTCACCAAAATTTATAATGACCAATATTATAGTCATTATAAAGAACTCCGTCAATATTATATTAGTGATGATATTTATTAAGTCACCACAATAGTGCTTTTTTTTTTTGACACAAAATTTGACACTAAAAGTATTAGAATATGTGATTAAAATAAGTTGTCACGATAATTCATTTTATTGTGACAATTTTTTCAACTTTAAAAAAATTAAAATAATGACAAAAAAAATTATCATAATAACATGGTTTTCTTGTGATGATAATATTGACATTAAAAGTATAGCAATAGTTACAAAACTGAAGTCACTCACATTATTTTTGTTAGTGACAAAATTTTCTTCACTAGTGTTTGTTGAAATAGTGTTGAATGAATTATGTCACAAATATTAAAATTATTTCTTGCAATAATTATTGTCACTAATAAATTAGTTATTGTCACAACAAAATTTGTCAATTTATTAAAAACAAAACTATCATTAGTGACTACAAAAAATAAATTGTCACAAAAATTACATTTGAAATTTCAAAATAATAGTCGCTAAAAAATTGTTTCAAAATAAATATGATTATAGTGACATAAAAATGTGGTCACTTCACCTATTTTTAAAATAAAAGAAAATGGTAACAATAATTATAAATAAAATACCAATATATATATATCATGTTTTAAATTTCCTAAATCCGATCTCAAAAATAATATCCAAAATACAATTATCACTAAAACCATACTAATTATTTTTTACCAAAAAACTAAATAATAACTAAAAAAAAAGTTTTAGTCCACTATGATAATGTCTAACTGGAAATCCAAGTTAGAAGTCCATAGTTGATCCTAGCAAAATTTACTCATCATTATTTTCCTATAAAACAAACAACAATAAAAAAAAATCAATGAATAGTAAAATATTTAACTATTATTGTCATTATAATAAGTGACATTAATTATTTAACTATTGTACTTACATTAAATAATTTGATGTAGATGCATTGGATAATAGACTAGAAATTAGACCATATCGCCTACTAAACGTGCAAATCCATCACCTGCTAAACCTTTACCTAATATGTCTTTACCTAATCAACAAGCAGTAGCAACACAAGCAACAAGTCTAATTGGGAATGCTTTATCATATAAAGTAGAAAACTAAAATTATATTCTCTCAACTTTTTAAACATTAAGTGGTGAAACTGAAAGAGACCCAACTTGTACCCCAAGACATAGCTCACAATCATTAAAAAAGGTGGGTTCCCATGCATCGAGCTAGGCGATTAAACTAAAATCCTCCTTCCCTATAGCCAATTCTCTTTCTGGCCAGCCCCCTTCATTTTTTAATTATCAAACTTAACAACTATTACCATTGCAACAGTTGGTGCTTTCGTTCACCAACTCTTATAGCCTTAATAGCATATGTGACTAACAAATAGATCAAAATGGCTAAAAAAAATAGCAAAATCAAATATAAATATCATTTTTAACATCCTAACTATATTAAACAAAATAAATCTAGCTACATTATTAACTAAAAAAAGCATAAAAGGTATTGCAATAGCTAAATAAAAATACCCATTTGTGAGAAGTAAAAACAATTAAAATGAAAGAAATAAAAGTAGGAAAACAAAAACCTTCACAGTATAATACAAATTCGATTGACATTACAGATTAGGGGAAAAATGCCTACAATAAAAAGAGAAGGTAAAGTAGGGAAAGAGAGAATGAGGTTAGCTTACGGTTGACATAGAAATTGATGTGAACCATGGAACTATTGACTTTTCATCAGAGGCAAGAAAGAGAAAATGATTGGAGAAAATGAAAGCAGATGAGGTAGGGATAAGAAACGAGACATAGCATGATCTTTATTACATATAGGGAAACCTAAACCTAATGTTTCCTTTTTCCATTTAGGGCTTTTAATGGGCTTATTTTTTGAAAGGCTAATTGGGTCTATGTTTTATAGAATTTGGACCTTTAAGTCTTTTAATTTTGGACTTTTGAGATTTAATTTAAATTTTGCTTTAAAAAATAAATAAATAAATAAATGTCATGATTGTATATGAAAAATATATATCTATCTTTTTTAATCTATTAAAAAATTATTATTTTAATTGTGTTGTTTTAAGATTAAAATATTTTGATTTTTTACATATTTATTAATTTTTAACATTCTATTAAAAATATAATAAATTATTATTATAATAAAATTGAAGCAATATTCATTTTTAAAATAGTTTATTATCATATAAATAAGTAATTTAATTTTTTATAAGTAAAATTAACAAATTAAATGACCCCTTTTATTTTCATAGTTGACTTCTGATCTTATGAAAATAATTAAAACCTATGTATTTTATATAGTTTGGTCGTGGATTAAGTTGTTTCATATTTATAATTGTATAATTGCACTTATATTTATTAATCAAACTATTTTTATATTTTATCCTTTGTTCTTATATTTAAAATTATCATTGGATGACATATTGACATAATGATATTTGACAATATTAGAAACCTCTATAACTCTTATTTGGCTTTGAATTTGTATTTTTAAATCTTATATATTGACATGATAATAGTTAATTTTTATTATTATTTAAACATTTATGGATTATTAATTTATTATTATTATCCATTTATGAAAACTACTATCAATTAATTAAATTATTTTTTGTTAGACTCCTATTAAGATACAATATTATAATTTCAACATGAAAATAAATTAGTATATTATGAACAAATTTTCTACAATGCCCACATTGGGTGAATTGGAGATACTGACCACAATGATCATAGCATTTTATTTTCTTTGGCTTAATTTTCATCTCTTAAGTATAAAGGTGTTCGAATTTTATTAAAACTGAATAAATCAATTAAACCAAACTATTGATTAATTGATTGGTCATTGAATTAATTTGAAAATATGTACTTGATTTAATTAATAATATTTTGAGACTTTTGTTTAAATACAAAATTTTTATTGATTATAAATCTATATTTTTATATTTTCTTTTAATATTGTGTCAAATTTATGTTATGTTTTGTAAATAAATTTAATAATATACAAATTGTTATTGCAATAAAAAATTAATTTCTTAAATTTATCAATATAAATTGTGACAAACCAATTTCTAGTCATTATAACTTTTCCAATAGTAACAATTTCAATTATCACAGTAATAAATTTGTAATTGTGATGACATATAGTCAACAGTGATATGTTTAATGGTGAACATTTTTGGAACAAAAAGTAAAGTATAATGTGACGACTATTTTTTTGTCACAACAATGTCTAATAGTAGCAACCACTTTATATCTTGTCACTAATACATTACTTCATACCAAAAACCATTTGCCGCAAATTTGTGCACTTTATTAGTGACAATTTTATAGTAACAAATAATTTTGCGTCACAAGAACATACTTATTGTGACGATTTAATTGTGAAAAAATTAAACCATCACAATTACTATTATATTAGTGACCAAATAATAGTATGTCACAATTACTTATTACAATGTGTCATAGGAAAATTTCATCACAAAAAATCTAATATTTGTGACAAAATTGCTCATGGTCATAATAAAATAATCACTAAAAATGTTAATTATTGTAGTGCACCATACATTTAACAATTCAAACTCATCCAAAATGGGTTGATAATTCAAATGGGTAGCTTCACAATGAAAGATAGCAAAAGATCCATAGATTTTATAGTGGTTCCTTAAGGAAAAACTCTTCAATTTAAGCATTCATGCCTAATCCAATACAGATTTTTCCAAGGATGTAATGTTCGCCAAGGTTTTGGGTTTTCAAAGAAAGGGATAGATAGGCTCAAAATAAGTTTTTAGAAGTGATTAAACTAAGAATCATTCTTTCCCATTTGCAAGATTTTCTTTGGGCCATTTATCTTTCCATTTTCCCATACTTTCCATTCAATCATTTTATTTCTTTTTCTTTTCCCTTTTATTTCTTTCATTTCTTTTGTTCTTCACTTTTTACTTTTTCTTTTCCTCTTTCTTTCACTTTCTTTTTCTTCTTTTTCCTTTCTTTTTCTTTAAGTGGATTCAAAACTTTTAAAAACTTTTTATTTGACATTTATTCAACACAGAAGGTTTTTTCTTAGACTTCACCATACTTTACCTTTGAATACATCCCTTTTTTACCCCCTAATATGAAAGGTGATCTTTGATTAGGATTCATTTGAAAGAGAATCATCATGACCGAAGGGGTAACAAGGGATAACTTTTTATACTTGTGAAAAGATAATGAAAGATGATCATTTATCATCTTAAGCATGGTTACTTAAATTTGAATAGCAATTCCTTTTTAGAAAAAGGGTTTGAAGAAAAGCTTTTTCAAAATTTTATTTTTTTAGGATTTTTTTATTTTTTCTAACTTTTTTGGTTTGCTTTTTAAAGTTTCTTCATAAACTTATTGGGATATTTTCTTTTGGGACTCATTTGAATGCTTCAGTGCATGACATCATAATTTTTTTTTTGCTTTCATTTTTTTCTTTCTATTTCTTGTTTTTTTTTCTTTTGTTTCTGTTTCTTTTTAATCCCCTTTTTTTCCACTTTGCCAAGATCACAATTTGGGAAAAATGCCTCTATTTTGATAAACCAACCTTAATATAGGTCAATGTGATAAAAAAAGTCATATGCAATGACCTTGTTTAAGGTATCAAATAGTTCATGTCACTCCACAAAAAGGAAAAGATTGGTCATAACTCAAGTTGTCTTAAGGGTTGTAAGGTTTTGCTTTTTGGTCAAAATACCCTTTAAACAGAGTAAGGATAACTTTGAGAAAAGACATAAAGCATTGATCAGTTTGAGGGATTTGGTTGAGAAGCTTTTATGCTTGAAGATCTAGCATAATCTTGACATGTATCAAATTACTAGCAACTAGATCTATAAAAGATGTCATGTTTGCTTAATTTTCAAGAAATGCATAAAAAAATATTTTTTAAATTAACTGTTTCATTATTCATCACATAGGAAAAGATTAATACCTTTTTTGTTAAGGTATGATCAAGTGAAAATATAGTTTATAGAATTTGAATATATACCATTTGAAAGGTTAAGGCTCTTGCCTTATTTTATGGTTCATGGTAAAAAAATGTTTGGAGGGCAAATGTGAGGGTGTTTAACAAGATTAGTTCATTTCTAAAGTGATCACCAATTCTTTCAAGACTATTTTTCACCTTTTATTACAAAAGAGACTATTTCTTTTTTTAGAAGCATTTTTTTTTATGCTTTTGGAAACTGATTATGTGGGGTTTTATTCTCAATTAGACCTTTTATTTTTGTTGAAAAATCCTAAAATTCCAAAATTCATACCTATAAAATAGGAAGAATTTAGATCACAAATCCATAAAGTAATATAGCATACAAAAGCTCATCCATTTAGATATCCAAATCAAACCAAAATTCATATCCTTAAACCAAGACTACAAATTACTCCTGAACTACATGTTACCTCTTAACCTCAAAAGTCAAACATTTTATTGAATTTCCTAAATGGCCTTGAGTGTTGGATCTTACAAGTTCAACCATACATATTGTATTTTTGGCTCATCTCTATTGACAATTCAAACAGATTCTTTATCTGACTCTTTCTTTGTCTTAAAGTATAATAATCCAGCTTTAATAAGATTTTTGACCTTGTATTTTAGTTCAGTCCAGTTCTCTATTGATTGTCCCTAATTACCACCATGGTAATTACATTGTGCATAAACACCATACCATATTGAGTGTGAAGGTTTAATAGTTTCTATATACATATGTACATTCTTTCTATATACATAGGTGCCAAAAGGTTTTTTTGGATTAGTTAGGGTAATAGTTCAAAGTAAGTTATGAGACTTGGTTTAATTCGACTTCTTAGTTGCTTATTTTGTGATCCTTTTAGATCATTTGTCTTTTTATCAAGCTTTGCAATTGGTTTGGTGATAGATGCAGTGGTAAGGCTAGGCACATAAGGGTTTAGGGAGCAAACATTAGCTAAAAATTTTATGTTGGTGTTGGTTGATAAGGATAATAGGTTGATGCTACATTAGCTTGATATATTGGGTAATGATAAAATAGGATGAAGTTTCTAAATTGTTAACCCATGTGGCTTACAACTGAAGCTACATTTTTATCATTGTTTTTTGTATCAATAATTTTTTTCCCATAACTTACCATTTTTATAGCATATTTTATTATCTCCTTGAAAGCACTATATCAGTAAAATTTTTTATAACATGACAATGAGTTTATCATAATATATGGCTTGAAGGGTCTAGATACCTAATTTTATCTTAGTGAATTTTGATCATTTGTGAAGCTCTTAAAATCCAATTCAAATCAAACCCAATATTTCTTTAATCTTGACAAGTTTTTAAAATAAAAAATAAGACCAATTTGACCCAAATACCCCAAGATCAAACTCGATCAAAATTATCAAACAAAGTCAAACTTGGTCAAAATGGATGGAAATCCGGTCAACTTTCAAAATTCACAACCAATTGGAATCAATATGGCTTGGAATTGAGATTTATGGCTTTAAAGCATTGAAAAACCCTATTGCACTTTAGGAATGATAAAATTACCAAAATGCCTTTTAGAGATTTTTTTTTAATTTGGTATTCTCAAAGTTTGATTTTCATGAAAACTTTTAGATCATGACTGAATATTATTTTATGATTTTGGATGCATTAAAATCTTGATCGTACCTTGGAATGTATGAAATTACTAAAACTTTTAGGGGTATTTTTGCAAATTGACTTTGTCAAGGTTAAAATTTGCCAAAAAACTCCAAATCATGATTTAATATTATTTGATGATTTTTGGAATGTTGAAAACCTTGATCATAT